TTTATTGATCTCAGAGAGAGGGGGAGAGAGAGAGAGAAACATCAATGATGAGAGAGTCGTCATTGNCCTTTTTGAAAAAAAAAATATATGTCTTTATTGATCTCAGAGAGAGGGGGGGAGAGAGAGAGAGAGAGAGAAACATCAATGATCCCAACTGGGATCTGGGGATCGAGCCCGCAACCTGGGTATGTGCCCTGACTGGGAATCAACTGTGATCTCCTGGACCCTAGGTCGACGCTCAGCCACTGAGCCATGCCCCACCAGGCAGCATACTAATTTTTAAGTAGTTTTTTTTATTCTGGAAAATTTCAGACATATAAAAGTAGATTGGATATATAATACGCCATTATCCAACTTCAACAGTTATTAACACGTGATTAATCTTATTTTATCCCTGTCCCCACTGGATTATTTTGAATTGAATCCCAGATAAAAGAGTCACTTTTATTGCACTGCATAGCAGTGGCTCTTAACCAGAGCTGTTAAACATTTGAGAGGGAGGGAGGAAGGGATATCCTGGCTTCATTTCAAGACAGAGGGATTCAGAATTTCTGGCCAATTGTTTATCTGAGAAATCATTTGTACATTTCTTCCTATTCACAGAAAGGTTTCCCTACTGATGCAACCCTTGATGACATAAAAGAATGGTTAGAAGGTAAAGGTCAAGTACTAAATATTCAGATGAGAAGAACATTGCACAAAGCATTTAAGGTACAGTTGTATAATGTAACAGACTTTTTGTAGTTGAAAAATATATCGGACACATAACTAAAAAAAAAAATCTTTCTTCCCCTTTTAAAAGGGATCCATATTTGCTGTGTTTGATAGCATTGAATCTGCTAAAAAGTTTGTGGAGACCCCTGGACAAAAGTACAAAGATACAGATCTGCTAATACTTTTCAAGTAAGTCTTTTTTGCTGATGTTTCTTCTGGCCACATAGTTATATGGAATTGACATACTGGGGTAAGGAGTATGAAATAGCATCCTCTCTATAAGGCCAGCAATTTGGTATCCATAGGTATCCTTTGAGGAATGCTTGAAATTTGTTTAGTGGAAACTATTAGTCCTTTGAGAATATATAGAAGTGTTTATTAGTACCTTTTCTCTGTTAGCAATTAATAAAGGAGGTTAAGGGTTAGTACTTATTTTGCATCTATAACTCTTAATCAGGCCGGATACTAAAATTTGGGCTTTCAGTATTAGAGAATAAACCACTACAGTTTTTATCTGTTTTTCTCATAATCTATATATGCTTATATTTTTATATAGTACAAAGGATTGTGTAATAGAAATTTGGACCATATTCTTTAATATGTGTGTCTAAAAACTAGGACAAACCAGAGCATTTTCATGATAAAATTAGATGTAGGACCGTAGTCTCTTACTTTTGTGTTACACAGTATTCTAAAGACGCTGTGTACTAAACCTGGTGGACTTAGAGATGCACTGTGATGAATCATGTTCAGTGTTAAACTCTCAAAAGTATTTTTCTTTTTTAATCCTCACCTGGGGATGTTTTTATTGATTTTTAGAGAGAGAGGAAAAGGCAGGAGAGAGAGAGAAACATCCATGTGAGAGAGCTTCGATTTGTTGCCTCCCTTACACGCCTCGACCAGGGATCGAACCTGAAACTTAGGTATGTGCCCTGATAGTAATTGAACCCGCAATCTTCTGCTGCAACCTTCTGTACGGACAATGCTCTAATCAATTCCGCCACCTGGCCAGGGCCCCTCAAAAGTATTTTTTAAATCTGATTTTTTAATTGTTGTTATACTTGGGTCTCAAGGAGGGATTTTAGAATGTTCTCCTTTTGTGAAATGAACACTGTAGAAAACTCTGAAACCTTAAAATATTTTACATAACTTCTGGTTTACTTTTTTAAAAAATACATGAATGATAAATGAAAACCAATATGAGATTGTTAATGGATATTGGGGTTTCTTTTTGGGGTCATGAAAATGTTCTGAAATTAGATAACAGTGGTAGTTGTACTTTCTGGATATATTAAAAGGCATTGAATTACACACTTTAAAGTGGTGAGTTTTATGGCATGTGAATTACTTCTTGGTAAAGCTGTTATTTAAAAAAAAAAAAAAAAAGAGTAACTTCCTTGACATCTTTTGCGTTTTTAGGTAATTATGTTGATAGAAAATGTAACATTTCTTATGCCATGTCTTAAAGCATTCAAAATTTGAAATCTTTGTTCTTATGAATTTAGCCTTTATATTTTGTGTCCTTTAGGGAAGATTACTTTGCAAAAAAAAATGAAGAAAGAAAGCAAAATAAAGTGGAAGCTAAATTACGAGCTAAAAAGTAAGTAAATGGAGCTGATAGAACATTTTAATTCCTTACTCTTTGACAAAGGTAGATAGAGGTTCTGGGAAATGGAGCTGATGATTATCTCTGAAAATGAGTAGCACTAAGCCTTTCTTTGGCTCTTGAAACATTGAGGTCTTAATGTTGCCTTGATAATCTGGGGGCCACATGTGTGTTGCACTCTAGCATTGGATAATAAGAAATTTTAAGGACTGGCTTTGGTTATTAAGTTGTTTAGTGATCAAGGTGGTCTATATCGGGATTTAATTTTCTTATATAGTAAATGGAAACATTTTAATTACATTTTTATTTGTAGAGAACAAGAAGAAAAACAAAAGCTAGCAGAAAATGCTGAAATGGTAAGTATATATTACTGTTATCTAAGAATTCAAAGGACTTTTCACAGAAAATATGTAAGCAAGTCTGTAGTTGTCATTATACTAAAGTAACAGACAAACATTATTGGCTAAAATTATTTATCCAGAGATAATAACCAGATTTATAGAACTAAAATATATAACTAATTAAATATTATTTGTTGGAGAAATTAGTTAAATCAGAAGCCATTGTAGAACAAAGGATGAAATGTACCAATTATTAAACTACTTTAAAATAGCATTTTAGTTTCTAGCCTTTTCCTTGTATAGGTGTAAACCATTTTTGATTTGTGGTTGCTTTTAAGAAACTTTTATTGTCTTGTATATTTTTATAGAAATCTCTAGAAGAAAAGATTGGCTGCTTGTTGAAATTTTCGGGGGACCTAGATGATCAGACCTGTAGAGAAGATTTGCACATTCTTTTCTCAAATCATGGTGAAATAAAATGGATAGACTTTGTCAGAGGAGCAAAAGAGGTTTGGAAATATTCATATGCTTTTTGCCAACGTTGAAAATCCATAGAAATTTATCTTTTAGATGGAATAATTTACTAGAGAAAAAGCAATTTTTTATTAATGTGTTTATGAAAATAGTTCCTGTTTAACCATTTACCTGTCCATTTTGTTATTGCTGTAACTCCATGTGATATCTGACATTTTCTGTTGTGCTGTAAATAATTGTTGGATCAGTGACTATAAGTTTTGTAGTAACTTCCTTCCTGATATTCACTAAAATTCATCAAAACTACTAATGGCCTGGAAGATTTTGCAGGCTAGGAAAAATTACTTTGAAAGTATTAACTGTGACACCAAAAACTTAAGGGTGTGGCTTTTTGTCTTTGGTGTAGGGAATAATTCTGTTTAAAGAAAAAGCTAAGGAAGCACTGGATAAAGCCAAGGATGCAAATAATGGTAATCTACAATTAAGGAACAAAGAAGTGACATGGGAAGTACTAGATGGAGATGTGGAAAAAGAAGCATTGAAAAAAATCATAGAAGATCAGCAAGAATCCTTAAACAAATGGAAGTCAAAAGGTCATTAGTTCTGATTTTTTTCTGACAGTTTGGTTATTTAAACTCATTTGCTTGAGTAAAAGTTGTAATAGGTGTTCAAAGACAGGGACAAGAGATTTAAAACATTTCCTTACTGATTTCTCAATTGTCTCTTCAGGTCGCAGATTTAAAGGAAAAGGAAAGGGAAATAAAGCTGCCCAGACTGGGTCTGCTAAAGGAAAAGTACAGTTCCAGGGCAAGAAAACTAAATTTGATAGTGATGATGAACGTGATGAAAATGGTGCATCAGGTAAGTTTTTCTAAGTTCTTTGGAACTTTCATGAGAAATTGTGGGAGAGAACAGTGATGTGGTTTTTCAGTTTCTGTATGAGTGACACTCTTGGATTGCGATTTACCCCAGCTGTGCTGTTTTTACAAGTGGATAACAAGGATGTTTGGAAGATAAGTTTAGAGAGCGGAATATCTGTACTAAAGGGAAAGCCTTTTCTCAATGGTAATTGTGCTCAACAGTAAAACAGTAATTCTTACAGTGAACTTAACAAAAATTAACTCTGTTATTGTATAGGACCAGTAAAAAGAGCAAGAGAAGAAACAGACAAAGAAGAACCTGCATCAAAACAGCAGAAAACAGAAAATGGTGCTGGAGACCAGTAATTAGTAAACAAATTTTTTATTCATTTTAATTAGGTTTTCAGCTGTGTTTGTCTTTGGAGGCTTTTAAAAAGAAAACCGAATTAGATCCACTTCAATGTCCACCTGTAAGAAAGGAACATTTTTTGTTGTCTAGCTTGTCTTTTTTTTGTTATTCAAATGAGGATTTTTTTTGATGTACAGTTGTATGTTATTTCAGATTGTTCAAATATCAAAAGAAAGATTCTTGTACTAAATTGCCTTTGTAATATGAGAATGTATTAGTACAAACTAATAAAATATATACTATGTAAAAAGAGCAAAAACTTAGTTTATTTTTTTCTGCTCAAGGTATTTGAGAAAGANTGTTATTCAAATGAGGATTTTTTTTTTGATGTACAGTTGTATGTTATTTCAGATTGTTCAAATATCAAAAGAAAGATTCTTGTACTAAATTGCCTTTGTAATATGAGAATGTATTAGTACAAACTAATAAAATATATACTATGTAAAAAGAGCAAAAACTTAGTTTATTTTTTTCTGCTCAAGGTATTTGAGAAAGAATTTATCTTAAACCAGAGTATTGGCTGTTGATTGTAGGCTGTTCCATAATCTGTCTCCCAGGTTGGCCTTCTGTATTTACTCAGACAACTTGATAACATTAAAAATAATTACTTATTGTAAAGCTCGAAACTTACTGATTTCTTTTTATGAAATTTGTATGATGCTGGCAGGTCATATCTCAGCTCTATAAAACAAAAAAAAAGCCCATCTAAGCATAAAAATTATATTTCCAAGCATTTACCACCCTTGACTAAAAAAATCCCATGAATTAAGAGAGCACTAAAAGCTGGTAAACTGAAGATTTTAGACCTGTCACTTTAACTTGGTATCCAAGGACTGCTGAGATATGTCGCCAAGATTAGCCATGGCAAATTGAGTTTGCATTTTTGCTATTTTAGTCATTTATACCAAAATTTGAGGTTATGGGGAAGAGTTTAGAAGGCTAACAAGGGGACAAAAGTATATCCTATAAAAATGATAGTATCTTCCTATTTTTTTAATTTCCTGATCAATAGCAATCTCATAAGTATGCCTATTTTAAAATTTTATAGTCTCAATTTTAGTAATAGTAGGAAGTAGCTATGTATTTTCCAACTAAGCTCTCAAATGAAAACATTCTTACTAAAAAATAACATAGGTGCTCCAAACTTACTACTGATCCATTTTAGAGGGATGGCAGTGAGTGTACCTATCCCTTCATATTTTACAACACAAATTCTAACTAGGTCACAGCTCTGAAATTTTACTGTGCAATCAAATCACCTTCAAATCTTACTGAGGTGCAAGTTATAATTCAGTAGGTCTGGGGGGAGGCTGAAATTCTACAAGTCTAATAAGCTCCCAAGGGATGTCAATGCTGATGATCTAAAGACTACTTTTGGAGTAGCAAGTCTCTGGTTTGGTGTACTACTGGAACTGTTCTAAGGTGCTCCATGTTGCATATTCTACTACCTTAAACTACATAAGGAATGACAATACTGAATATAATAGGAAGACCGACCTTTTACACATTAATTAATAGATCAAGTTATATGGTTAACACCACAGTGCTTGCTAGTTCATAGATTATTATTGTGTAAAAAACATTTCTCCCTTATTGTACTCTTATTTCAGGCTTTTCAAAATTATTTGGATTGCAGTTAGCTTCTAGTTGTATGCGTTCCCCATTTTGATGTTTGTGAATATTATCCAATTTACTAATAAAAGCATATCAAGCATGATTTACTCAGTGTGGATGACTATTCTACCCCCCACTAAAAAAAAGCTTCACGTTACTTGACTTCAGGGGCAATTGGAAAATTAAAAAGAAAGGTGATCCAGGCATAATCTGGTGGTATTTTCCATGAATGGATTCCAAACAGGTCAGACCAACTCCAAACCCAAGATTTTTAGTCACTGTGAAGCTATGTAAGGGTTCTGTTAGCCTGGGGTGACCAAATACTTGGGTACTATTAGAAGTTTTCAGTAAAATGTATACATAAATTGTGACAGTCTTAGACAAACATTGATACCCTGCCTTTACTGAATTTGCTACCCATTACCAATTACACCCATTTTGCCACACTAAAAAACATGATTTACAGTATCTTTTCAGCACCTGTATAAAAATTCTGGTTTAGCTAATGCATTTTGGCTTTCTTAGATAATTAGAATTGAGATTTGTTTTATGAGAAACTTAAAAATTGTCTTACCTGCAATGATGTCTATCTTGATTTTCCATTCTGCAGCTTTCTTTTGAATGTGCTGAACATAATAACATGTTAATGCGAACTGATTTTTAAATAGTTATTGTTTTTTTACTAATACTTGATATTATGTTTTCAAGCTTTTAAAACTTCATTAGAGTTTAGACCCTTAACGTTTTTCAACTGAATTATAGTTTCTTTCCTGGTAACAGTTCCTGCCTGAACAAATATTGGACAAAAAATTANTACATTAGAGTTTAGACCCTTAACATTTTTCAACTGAATTATAGTTTCTTTCCTGGTAACAGTTCCTGCCTGAACAAATATTGGACAAAAAATTACATGGGCTAGAAGAAAACTAATTACAAATGCTAGCTAAGTAAAGGGAAATTTCCATTTCTGAGTTCCAGATGTTTAAAAAAGGCCAGGAGAAATAAGTACTCTGGTATTTAGATTTATTTACCAATAAATAAATTTTCACAGCAAATCCTTACAACCCTCATGATTTTAAAAATAAATGACAACCCTAGCGGGTTTGGCTCAGTGGTTAGAGCGTCAGCCCTTGGACTGAAGGGTCTTGGGTTCAAGTCCGACCAAGGGCACGTACTTCAGTTGTAGGCTCAATCCCCGGCCCTGGTTGGGGTGCGTGCAGGAGGCAACCAATCGATATGTTTCTCTCACATCGATGTTTCTCTTTCTCCCCTTTCCACTCTCTCTGAAAAGCAATGGAAAACACTCTCAGGTAAGGATTAAAAACAATAAAAATAAAAATAAATGACACAATATCATGATGATTTGAACTTACTTCTCTGGTTGAGGATTTGTGCAAAGAATATACTGCTGTTCTTGCCATTTCCAAAGCAGTCTTCAGGAATGCCATATCTGTCCCTGTTAAGAGTAGAAAATGCTCCAATTTATATTTATTTATATTTATATCAAAATGGAAGATTAAGTGAATGCCAAGTATTAATAAATATCAAAATAGCCACTTCAAATTCTTTCTGCAAAAAGACAAGTGACAAATAAGTAAAATATCTAAATATAAGGTTGATAGAATAAAACCAGAATTATACTGTCATATTTGAATAAGGATCAATAAAAATTTCAGTATCATTCCCATTTAATGACTTTCAAAGAGGGGAGAAGGAAACAGTAGTAATCAGAATTGGGGGAGGGGTGGGGGTGCAAGGAGGGCTCTTTACGTGTCTTTCTCTTCTTACTGATTTCCTACCCTCCTTGCCCACAACAAAATAAAAAGCCACAGCGAGTCACTGTTTCTAATGGACACATGATAAAACCCTCGGGTGTGTTAAGGCATTAAAAAGAGGTTATAAAAGTATAAAATACTTTATAGGATTCATAATAATTCATAAGGGTTAGGTAATTTTTAATGTTTTTACTGATTTCAGAGAGGAAGGGAGAGGGAAAGAGAGAAGCATCAATGAGGAGAGAGTGTCACTGATCGGCTGCCTCCTGCACGCCCCCTACTGGGGATTGAGCTCGAAACTAGGGCATGTGCCCTGACAAATGGAACCATGATCTCCTGGATCTTAGGGTGATGGTTAACCACTGAGCCACACAGGCCAGGCAGTAAATCATTCTTGAAACCAGATGGAGTATAAAAAGAATTTTTTTCATTTATAACAAATTTGTGAAAATAAAGATTGAAAAATTCAATTCCCTATTCATGCATTACACAAACTGAAATTGAAATAACTATACCGGTAAGAGACTGGTTTATTTAATGAAGAGTGATAAACTCAATTAACCCAAATAATGAGCAGGTGGTTTTTAAAACCAATACACCTGATTTTTATTACTAACCTTTATTATTCTTGGTCCCAAAGGGAGGATTCATAATTACTGTATCAAATGACTTGGACATTCTGTTAGATAATGAGCACACATCACATTGAACCATATCAACATTTGTTAACTCAAACTCTTCCACATTCCTATTAAATATTTCCAGTGCATCTTCATCTATGTCAAATCCAACACACAACCTATAAATACAAAACACAAAGAGCGACTGCTTATGGTTTCCAAGTCAAAACAATAACACAATCAAAACCATAACCTTTTTAGCCCAACTGGCAAAGTAAGAGTGAGTTACCTTTCAACAGCATGATTTCCCAACTTGGGAGGGGTTGGAAACTGAGGTTTATATACAAGGGAGGCATCTGCCTGTTGCTGTTACTGTTTCGTTTTTTAGTTTGTTCTGCTCATTCAAAATGTACTCATTATCAGATTCTCAGTCCCCTCATCTCATACTATAGAGACCCATAAACATAANCGTTTTTTAGTTTGTTCTGCTCATTCAAAATGTACGCATCAGATTCTCAGTCCCCTCATCTCATACTATAGAGACCCATAAACATAATCAGTTGATCCTATTTATGCCTATTAAAGCCACCCCATACCAAACAGTATATACTGGATCACCTACCCAGCTCCTAACATTGCAGTTCCGATGCTAAGTACTCCACAACCACATCCTAGATCTGCAATCATTTTATTTTCAATGTCATCATATGTATTATGAATTGTATAGAGCATACATGCTAAAAGATCAAAAAACATATTAGAGAATAAGCAAGTTGATGACCAATATCCAATTTGTGCAAATGACTCTTTAAAACAATTTGTCTTTCATTATCTAGTCCTCCCCCAAATGGCATTCCAGATAATTAAAAACATAAGGCATAATAACTTGGTATTGTAGTACAAGGCCCCACAAAAAACAAACACATACCAGTGGTTCCCCAAAACTAGTCTCTGCTGACAATGCTGAGAATGACAAAACTTCGAGGTAAAAATGAGAAAAATAAGGTCAAAATGGTTTTTTCCTCAGCTTGTTCAAAACATTGCCATATACACATACATATATCAGTTTTCTTTGATATTGAAATATTTTTATGAAAGAATAGTAAGAGTAAATAGGTTTTAAAGATATCTTTCCTTCTCAATATGTAAACTTGGCAACCCTTTATCAGTGTGTCCAACATTATTTTGAAATTTTACTGATTTGTGAACTCTGTTAATCCAGGAACAACTGTATTAATATTAAAATGGCACTGAACTTTTTTGCAATGAATTTGTCTCCAGGTACCATAAGCTTAAGCTAGAATGGGAAAGAAAAAGACCTACATTCACAATATAGCTTTTAGACTCACTTATTTAAACACATATGTTTATGATCTACAGACACATATATTCATAATCTAGTAAGACCTGAAAGAACTATTAAGGAGTACAGCAGAAGCTGCTGAAATTGGAAAGGGATATTCAAATACACAAAGGTCTGGAATATACTGAAGGTTACCTAGGAGTAAGATCACTCATATCTCCCTGTGGATATCTGAACCCTGCAAGGATTACTGGCCATCACTGATGCCCCAGGGTCCAGAGGTTTAATCAAAAACACAATTTCAGGTCATCTCAGGCTGGCTGTGCTGTTCTGATTATTGCTGCAGGTGTTAGTGACTTTGAAGCTGGTAAAGAATTAGCATATCCATATGCATGTTACACACTGGGCATGAAACTGGTCTTTTAAAAAACTGAATTCCACTCAGAAACCCTATAACCAGAAGACATTAAAGAAGTCATTATCTAAATTGAGTGAACTGGTCTTAACCCAGACACAGTTTTGTGTCAGTTTTTTTTTTTAATCCTCACCCGAGGATATTTTTCCATTGCTTTTCAGAAAGAGTGGAAGGAAGAGAGAGAGAGAGAGAAACATCGATGTGATGTCTCACATCAATTGATTGCCTCCCACATGTGCCCCAACAGGGGCCTGGGATTGAGCCTGCAACTGAGGTACTTGCCCTTGACCGGAATCAAACATCCTTCNCCGGCATCCTTCAGTCCAAGGGCGGACGCTCTAATCACTGAGAAAGTTGGCCAGGGCTTGTGTCAATTTTTGGTTGAAATTAAGTGCAGGTAAGCAAGTATTTTCCTCAACTTTCATTGGCAGCTTAGAAACCGAACTATGTTGGAATTGGAAGAGTTTCCTCCTTGCAGGTGTTGCCAGCAAATTAATTTTCCTAAGATTCCCCAATCTTAGGACATTGGCAATGTTTATTAAATATGAACATTTTTTCCTGTATTCTCTCCTTATTCCTGGTACCAGTCTCTCACATCAAGCAACACTGCTGATTCTCAGATCATTTTTAAAATTGAAATGCATCCTCATATTTATATAGCACCTATTCTGGATTTCTTAAACTCAGTCCTTCAGCTAGCAACTCTAATATTCATTTCTAGGGCAGGGTATAGCATAGAAATCTCTGTGCTGACAATTCATTGCAATAGGAAATTGATTCTTATTTAGCAAATATTTACTGAGCTTCTAACTAGTTACCAGAAACTCTTCAGGTACTGGGAACCGTGTGAACAAGACCATCAAATTCTNTTCATTGCAATAGGAAATTGATTCTTATTTAGCAAATATTTACTGAGCTTCTAAGTAGTTACCAGAAACTCTTCAGGCACTGGGAACCGTGTGAACAAGACCATCAAATTCTCTGCCCTCAAGGAGTTTATAGTGTAACGAGAGAAACAAACACATTAAAAAGATGCCTGGCAGTATTAAGGGCATGTAAAAACTGAACAGTAAAATGACAACGGGCGTGTCTGTGCGTGTGTCTCACATCGTATGTGATCTTTCAGCGCATTTCCTCCGCAGGTTCTTTGTATCTAAGTAACTGTTCTCATTTCACTACGGGACTAGCCAACCCGCGAAGCAAAGGCGTGGTCACCAGCCGCCCTACCTGCAATGTGCGGCCTGGTGGGATACTGTTCTAGAAGTAGCTTGGGCTTTTCGAATCCATCCACTTGTTGCAGGCGACTCTCTAGTTCCTTAAGTCTGAACTTCTTCATCTTTTAAAAAGTGTGGGTTCTCGGGGTTTAACTGCACTGGATCTGCAGAGAAAGTTGTTTAACCTTAATTTCCCGTACCACCAACCCCCCGCCCATTTTTCAGCGCCACCGGCCCAGGGGCCGGGCAGGAGACGAAGGACGCGAAGGACACACAGGCCCAGGCCCTTTCCGCCGGCCTCTGACCCGCCTGCCGCCAGGGTATCCGGCGCCGATCCCGGGAATCTCGGAGACGAGCGGCGGCTCCAGCCTGGGTTTCAAGAGGCTGCTAGCTCCACGGCCGGGCCGGAAGCGCGCTAACCACGGGCGCTCCCTGTGGTCCCTCGCCGGGCTGCAACTGCGACCAGGCTCACCGGTTCCGCCGGCGACTCTAGGTCCTCATCCACCCCCACTCGGGACCGTCGGCACCGCCGGTAGAGCCCGCCCTTCCCGCACCCCTCAGCCGGCCCCGCCGCCTGTGACATAGCCGGTACCTTCCAGCTTTTTCTTGAGTAGCTGCAGGCCCTCAAAGGATAGGGAAACAAAGGGGGTGAAAGTCCTGGTCATTTTCGTTTAATGCCCAGTGTGGCCCTTTCTGCTTTCTGTCTCTCAGGCCCCCACTCAACAGTAGCAATCCCGTCACCTTTGCCTCCTTGGCCATTAGCATGTCCTACTTTATTATAACTTTGTTTCCCTCTTTTTAGGTCATTTTTTTTCCTATAAAAAATTGATTTAAAATTTATGTTTTGAGATAATTATAAATTCATATGCAAGTATAAAAATAGCACATAGAGGTCCTGTATATTTTTTACTCAGTTTCCCCAATAATAACACTTTGCAGAACTATAATACAGTATCACAACCAGGATACTGACAGATACAGTCAGGACATAGCAATTCCATCACCCCAAAGATCCTTTGTGTTGCACCATTTTAGCTTCCTATGAGCGATGTATGAGGGTTCAAGTCCTCCATATCCTCAGCAACACTTGTTATTTTCCATTTTTTAAATTGTAGCCATCCTAGCAGGTATGAAGTAGCAACTCATTGTGGTTTTGATTTACATTTCCCTGATGGCTAGTGATGTTGAACATTTGAAAATATGCTTCTTGATCATTTCTATAGCTTCTTTGGATAAAGAACAATCCAAATCCTTTGCTTATTTAAAAATTGTTATTCATGTTTTTATTGTTGAGATGTAAGAGCTCTTTGTATACTCTGAATACTTGATGCTTATCAGATATATGGTTTGCAAATATTTTTTCCCATTCTGTGGATTGTATTTTTACTTTCTTGGTAGTGTCCCTTAGCATGCAAAAGTTTTTAATTTTTGATGATGTCTCTATTTTTTTAGATGTTATATCTAAGAACCTGTTGCCTATTTAAAGATTGTGCAAATTTACACTTATGTGTTCTCCTAAGAGTTTTACAGTTCCAGCTCTTACACTTGTGTCTTTTATCAATCTTGAGTAAATTTTTGTATGTGGTATGAGGTAGAGGTACAAATTTATTCTTTTGCATGTGGGTATCCAGTTGTCTCAACACTATTGGAAAGACTATGCTTTCTTCCACTGAATGGCCTTGGCATCCTTGTAGAAATCAATTGAGCGTAGATGTATGAGTTTATTTCTGGACTCCCAATTTTATTTCATGATCTATATGTCTCTCCTTATGCCAGTACCACACTGTTTTGATTGTCATAGCTTTGTAGTGAGTTTTGAAATGGGAAGTGTGAGTCTTTCAACTTTGTTCTTCCTTTTCAAGGTTGTTTCAACTCTCAAGGTCACTTGCATTTTCATATGAATTTTTGGATCAACTGGTAAATTTCTGCAAAATAAGCAATTGGAATTTTCATAGGGGTTGCAATGAATCTGTATCGATCAGTTCTAAGAGATGACAGAGCTGAGGGTGAGGCTGTGAGAATGGTTGGCTGTAGTGAAGCAGAGAGAGGAGAAGATCAATGCCTGGTGGACTATCCACATGGACACTGAAATCTCCCTGATGGTGGTAAGAACTCAAGATGTAGAGGAAAGCTGCTTCTATTGCCAACTCTTTAAAAAATGGAGGCAAGATTGAATTGTACAGAACATTGAAAAAGACGGTTAAAGAGTGATATCAATGGATTCCACATCACCAGGAGACCTGTTTGCTTAAACTTCAGTTGATGGATTAGTAAAATTTGGTATTAGTTCTATGTACTAGACACTGTTCTAATGGTAAGTGGGAGGAGTTATGTAAGATGTGTAATCCTTTCCTGTAGACAGTTAACAATTTACATGGGGAAACCAAAGATAAACATTTGAAAAGTTTAGCAGAGACCACTAGCATTTATTATAGCATGGCTAAAATAAAATAGGGAAAAATAGAAGACATAATACCAAGTGCTAACACCAAGTGCTGGAGAGGATGTGGAGCACATGGATTTCTAGCACATTATGGGAACACAAAATGACTCCTTCTCCTTGGAAAATAGTTTGGTAGTTTCTTATGAAGTTAAACATACACTTATCATATGACTCAGCAATCTAACTTGTAGGTATTTACCCAAGATAAATACCTACATATATGTGTATATGTGTACATAGAAATCCATATATAGATGTTTATAATAATAGCTTTGTTCAAAATCAGCAAAACTGTAAACAACCCAAATACTCACCAACTGGTGTATAAATTGTGGTACATCCATATATACACCATAGAATACTACTCAGTGCCTGGTTGGGCGTGGCTCAGCGGTTGAGCACTGACCTATGATCCAGGAGATCGTGGTTCGATTCCCAGTCGGGGCACATGCCCAGGTTGCAGGCTCCATCCCCAGTTGGGGGCCTGCAAGAGGCAGCTGATCAATGATGACTTTCTTATCATTGATGTTTCTATCTCTCTCTCCCTCTCCCTTCCTCTCTCTGAAATCAATAAAGGTATATTTAAAAAAAAAAAAAGAATACTACTCAGCAATTTTAAAAGAATGAACTACTGATAGATGCAACAACATGGGTGAATATCAAAAGCATTATGTTAAGTAAAAGAAGCCAAACTGAAAAAGCTACATATAGTACAATTTTATTTATATGATACTGTGAAAAGGCAAAACCATCAGAGGGAAATACAAATCAATGGATGCTAGGCACTGGGTTCCAGGAGAGATTGACAATAAAGGGTTATGAAGAAACTTTTTGGCATGATTGACTGTGGTGATTATATGGTTATGCATTTGTTAGAATTCATAGAATGTTCCTAATAAGGGTAAGTTTTAATGCATGTAAATGATACCTTAATAACTTTGATTTTACAAAAAAGTTGAATAACAATAACAAGCCAGTCATTTACACATTACTCTCACAGTTTTCAAACTTTTTGGTGTCTGAATCGTTTTATACTTTTTAAAATTGCTAAAGACTTGGCCCTTGGCCAGTGTGGCTCAGTTGGTTGAGCGTAGTCCCATGCACCCAGAGGTCACTGGTTTGATTCCCAGTTAGGGCAGTTGCAGAAGGCAGCTTATTGATGTCTCTTCCTCTCCCTTCCTCTTTCTCTCTCTTAAAAAAAAAATCAATAAAATTATTAAGGACCTCAAAAATTTTTTGTTTATGTATGTGGGTTATATATATTAATTTATTTATATTACTGGAAATTAACACTAAGAAAATTAAAACATTTATTTATTAATTCACTTAAGACAATAACTCCATTACATGTTAACATAAGTAACATATTTTATATGAAAAATAATTGCTTTCCATAACAAAAAAAATTACTGGAAAGAGTAGCTTGCGTTACATTTTTGTAAATGCCTTTAAAATCTGGCTTAATAGAAGAAAGTTGGATTTTCATATC